ACATTATGTATGTGATATTTATATATGGAAATTTATTAGAGGAAATTTTAAAACAATTTTTGTAAGATGAAAAATTGTTATAGTTTTAGGTATTAATTTTCATCTCACATTTAAGATGCAAAGATAATTCAAAATCACTTGTCACATAATATTGTAAAATAAATCGAATTTATTGTTCTCTAAAATTTGCAATAACTATCTCATGCTGACATAATAAAGTGGTATTTTTATTTTTGTTTGATTGCACAAATACATAAAGTCGGACAAAAGGTGATTAGGAGATTTTTTATAATAAGAATAACGAGCTTTATAGCATCTCTAAAATGTCGATTAATTATTATTATATTGCTAATAAGTAGCTCTATACTATTACGGCTCTGATCTAATTAAATCGACAAAATAAAATAAAAAATAGGTCTCAAGTCTTTCTAAGTATGTACATTTTTTACGGTTAATAATATAAGCCGTGATAAAGTTTGAAATCATCCTAGTGACTTAATAGCATTGCATTTGAAAACACATTTTCGTCAACATTCAGAAAATAAGTACACGTGATATCTCATTTAAACTATCCCCCATTTTCGAGTCTCACGAGATTAATGGATGATCCCCAACCACGTATCATGAGTATAATGCGTGTTTTTGGATATATGTTAATATTGCCCTTTAGAATGTCATATGACCCGATAAATTAATTCAATTTTATTCATCAACGAAGAAATGAAGAGTAATTTTGTTTATTTTGTTTTATTTTAGATTTTTAATAATATATCCAAATGCAAACCTTATTAATTATTCAAACAGCCAGTATCTAATGAGCGAAGACGAACGAGCCCGTATTGTTATTTGTCTTGCTTGTGCTTGACCTTAGCATTTGCTCTACAAGCTTCACATGTTTTGTTATTATCTTCCCGGAGTATTGGTATATTATGGGCTGAGAGGTTGCTCTATTGACATTTTGCTTTTCTTCGCATGAAATAATATTGCAAAAACATTATACATGTAAATAAGTTTTAAGCTTTAAGTAATAATTTACAGGGAAAACGTGGATCGGTCCCGGCCCATTATTGCATACAACGATCTCGACTTCCCGGATAATGGTGACATATTCTAAGTTGTGACGTTTGCAATAGTAATGATAACATTCCGATTACAACAGATCGAATCCATACAATGTGGTATGAAACATATCTATACATTGTTAACTTATACATTTTGTGTCTCAAATTATTGAGAGAAATCACAACAATGACCGTGTCACAATTTTCATTTGTTGATCACTAAAATAATTTTCTGTTTTTCTGTACTAAATACTTTTATGTAATAAATTTAAATGACCAAGATTTCATTTCAACTGATTTGATTATGTTCTTTCTCTAATATTAATTTTCATACGCGAACTCAATATTATGTTATAATATTATGTTATAACTTTTAACCGATAAGTATACAATATTTTGCTAATAATTCGATTGTTGTAGTTAAGAAATAATAAAGAAATATTAGAGATTATGAAAACATTTTTTTTATTGTTAATTCTTAATTAACATTTAACCCTATATTGTTCCCGGGAAGCTGAGATTTGTGACGTTTTTAATTATTTTAAGACTTGCTTACAATGTAAAAGTAAGCAATAAATATATTTTTTAGTTCAGTGTGGAACTTTGCAGAACCTTGCCTTGATTCATCTCGAACCGTTCGTCTGACACACCGAAAGTTTTGATTACAAAAGACAGGCATCATTTTTACGCTTTGTACTAAGTAAATGCAAGGTTTTCCACTGATCTAACTATATAAGATGTAGTTTTGTTTGTGAGTTTTGAGTGATTTGAGTGGAGCGTCAGGCGTGTTTCTAATGCATGCTTTATGTTGAAGGGGTGACGCCGCGGAGTTCCGCCCGGTCGTTCACTACCGCGACTTGGACGCGCCGCGCGAACCTGACGACTTCATATAACACAACAATGCTTTGACAAGATACTTTTGTCACGTAAACGTATCAGCAGTAACATAATACACTAGTGTACAACATTAATTAATGAATTATAAATTAATATAAGAATAAGCGACATCATAGTATCATATTTGTCTCAAATATTAATTTTAATAAAGTTGTTGAAAAAACGGTTGGTATTTTCTTGGATGGTGAAGAGCTTTATTCCATTTGAAAATGCGGTAGAGGTAATGCAGATCAACTTTTTTTGTACAAGTGAATCACACTTATGCTGCAATATGCCAACTGTATTTGTAGAAAGAAGGTGTTCTAAAGAGCAAAGCGGTTGTTATTCCTAATGGAAAACAACTGTTATTAAGTAATGTTTCTTTCCAGAAATAGTATTTCAAAGATATCATGAAGTGAAAGAAGATAAACTACTTTTAATACACTTAGGTGGTGTCACTATGTGACAGGCATGTTTTGTCTTATTGTTGACCACAGCAACTAAGGAACAATCAATTTGAAATAATTTTAAAATGTTTAAATTAATAAAATTGACTTTCACGATAAACAAGAAAGAGCCAGTGATTCTGTAAGTTCCGGTTGCATTGCAAGGAACATCCTATAGGTAAGTAGTTTTGCAAGACGAATACTTTCCTACAAAAGACAAGTGGCCTATAAAGAAAGAAAATTGTATCTTAACGTAATATGTTTAATATAATATTTTTTTTACTTATCACACTTATGAAAAATCAGACCTTAACGCATTCTTATGTTTTCTTATAAACTTTAAAACATATAATAACCATCCTAGCATACCCTTAAATTCTAGTTAACATATAAATGTACGTAGAATAACAATTTAAATGACTTACAATCGCCCTCTCGTATAAAAACACTCATTATTAAACAAGTTTGTAAAAGATATGCTGATGAGTTGGAAAAAAATATAAATTTCTATTGCCACGAATCTGTTGCTATCGGCCCGAGGTATTGCAATAAAAAACAAACGAAAACAGATCATCAATATTCAGCACATCTAATAGTAATAAACTGACCAAGGATAATTGGGTATATCACCGAAATATACCTATACATGTGAAAACCAGTTTCACGATAAGAATTTTAATTTCGTTTGAAGCAAAGAAAAAAATAAAATAGCTTTAATGATTTTTCTGAATCTATCATATCTTCGAGTTTAATTAGACGTTGATAATGCTACAATCGACTCCGGTTCAATTAACGAATATTAAGATTTGATTACACAGCGCGTCGGTGGTCCAGGGGTTAAGCATTTGACTTGTAATCTGTGGGTCCTGGGTTCGAATCGTCGAACGCAATTAATTTTATATACATAGATACCAAAATACATATTACATATATTAACTGTATGGTGTATTCTTGCAGCTTCAACAGAAGTAAAATAAATAAAGCTGATTTTCCACACAAACGGAGGTCCCGAGTGATTACAGCAGTTATATGGATATAAAATCTCAATTATAAAGTATGGTAGTAACTTCAAGTTTAATGTCATACATAAAAAATTACTAGCCTTGACCTCTTAAGAGTTCAACAACAATAATTTATAATGTAAATATGTGTCAATATAATATTGTATAATATATAATTATTTGATTTATAACAAAAATATCAGTCGAAGTTAACTGATTATAACAGCTTAACTTATTGCAACCAATTTTACTAACATACATACAAACGCATTAAAGTACAATTACTATTAAAAGTAGGTTTTCTCTCATCTTATCAGCAAATTGTTAGGCTTTATCGAAATATTTATTATAGACAGCTGTGGCCCACGACTCCGTCCGTGCTCAATTAAAAATAGTAACCTATGTGTTCTTACAGACTATGTTCTACGTGTGTGCCAAATTTCATTAATATTCGTGGAGCCGGTACGGAGGTACCTTCAAACATCCATCCACCTAAACTTTCGTATTTATAGTATTAGTAAGAGTAAGATTGTTTTTCTGTATAAATTCTAAACAAAAGTAGTCAATGTCAAAGCCGTAAAGAGCTTCTTGCGAATAAAATATGGTGTGTGCACAAGTTTCATGGTAAACTTGTAAGCAGTGTGTCACCCGGATATTCGTCTGTACGCAGTAGCTAACTGCATAGGTATGCGTTATTTTGTCTCCTCAAGTTGGCGATTACGTTACCCAGGCGCTGATTTTCCCAAGCTCTAACAATAATATTTTACTGACATGACAATGACTACGCGCAAGTTTCGTATGTGACTCAGAGACATTCGATAACCTTGATTAAAGATCACAACATTACAAAACAACCACGTTTGATGTTATATCAAATTATATTCAAATGCGTTATAAGATAACGTTTTGTCTAATAGTGTTTTTGGTAATGTTATTTATAGAGATCTAACTGAAGTTATTGCCGAATAAAGGTTTTTTCGTATTTTGCAAATTATAAATGTACCTTTTTTAGACATACATATTTATGGTAAATGACTTTTGTTACAATCAATTTTTTATCTCAATTATTCTTTCGGTCTATTACATTTTTTATAGTTCCCATAACACTTACAACTTTGCATTTGATGCAAGTCCACAGTTAGCAAGATGAGTGTTTTGTAAAGATAAATGTTATTAATGGCCAATATTTTTGACTGGATTAGAATCTGGATCAGAACACTAACCGCTATGTTACCAACAGAGTTTATGCATATATTGGTATAGTATGGTATAACTTGTAAATTAAAGTTTAACGAATCTTCTAAATGCGTTTTTTTCTAATAACTTTGTATTTTGGATAATTTTCCTAAACTTACTTCTTACTATGAAATGGGAAGGAGTTAAAACAATGACGAACAAATCGAGCTAAAAAGAAATCAACATCCAAAGTATGTAAATGTAGTAAATATAAGTTATATAAAATCTATGAATATAAAAAACAACGTGTGGAGCACTTGTTCACATGAATATGGGAAATATTTTTCAATCCGTGATCCTTACTGCGGCTTAATAATAACGACGACAGGTTTTTAGATGCGTCTATTTGTGTATGCTTTATATAAGGTGACGGCATCATAACAACACCGTAGTCGGAAAGCTTCATCACAATGAAGCTCTCGTGTGCTTTAGTGTTGACCCTAACGAACCTTGTGATAGCCACCCCCTACAGTTTCAGTGTCAAAGGTAGCGGCGCATCAGCTAAAGGTCAGTACTTAACATATTACTTCTCAGTAAGTTCTAGATCAAATTGCATGCTTGCTCTATTACATTTAAGCGAACAAATACAATTTGTTAAATATAAAACAATTGTTAAGTTATGATTGTTAGTTAAATATATAAGATGGAATTAGGATTTAAACTAGTGATGGTTAATATTAAAGTATTCAAATATTAGATTTCCATGTAATATTATTTTAATTATTGACCCGGGTAATAATTAATCAGTATAAAAATATAAAGAAATTAGTTCAAATCCGTATCGATACAAGTCTTATTTTATGTACACTTAGTTAAAGCTAAATTATGTTACGTGTAATCTATTTTAATACCGGAGTTATACATGGGTTTATTTTTAAAACAGATACTGTAATAACATTTTATTTTTATTGATGTAATCTGAAAACTAATTAATAAATAACAATTATGGAGTGAGTAAATAACAACTTGAAAATATGGCAACAAAAAACGTGTCATTCGTTTATAAAACGATAGCAGTATGTTTTAAACAGGAATTTTGGTCTCGGAAACTCACTGTTATTTAACTAGATGGTTAAGTTCAGTGAAAGCATTTATCTTTGAGAACGATTGTTAGAAAAGGTATAACGATTGTTTTATAAGGTATTAATACTTTATTCATTTTAGCGGAAGCTGCGACGTCTTCCTTTGGACAATTTGGGGTGGTGAAACCAGTTGCCCCGAAGACAACTGGATTTTCGGGAAGTTTCTCAAAGTCATCATCTTCAAGTGTAGCATCAAGCAGTGCCAGCTCAAGCTCGAGTGCGTTTAACTACAATGCCGGGCAAATAGGATACGGTTCGCAGGATTTGCTTGTACCACATAAAAATGTAGAGCCTCAGGTAGCCACTGTCCCACAAGCAACTGCATTTGCTACGGCTGGAACTAGCCAAACTGGAGCTTCAGTAAATGCCCAAGCCACAGGATCTTATTCTTCTGAGAAAGAAAACAATTTTTCAGGAAACACAAATAGTCCTGCAAATGTGCAGTATCAATCTGCGGTGCCTGAAGGCAAACCTAATTTTTACGTCGGTATAAATCCAGGAATACCCAGCCATTGGCATGAACAATCAAAGCCGAATAGTTTTAACGCCAACGTACCTGAAAAAACCGGAGAACAGTTCGGAGTGCAAAGCTTTTCTGGTGATGTGCAAAGTGGCACAGCTTTTTTTTCAACGCCCGCCGCACCGAGTAAAGAATCCGCTTTAGTCGAAAATGCCCCATCTTACTCCGGTGGCTTTGGGGGACCTCCAGGACTATTAAGTCCTCATGATAAGATTTCTTCTGTCGCTAGCAATGCCCCAAGTGTTCCCACTGTTGTATCTTATCCTCCTGGAGCACCGTTAAATGTACCTAGCAAACAACAAACTTTACCTGTCACTACAGTAAAACCATCGTACGCCCAATACCAAACAGGAAACATAAACCCAACAGTCCAGTCAATAAACACTGAGTATGTTTATAATACAGAAAATTCGAAACCATTGTACAAGCCTGAAATAAAACCAACGTATTTAGAACAAAACACACAGACTGCATCGGGCAATTATAATGCCGCATCAAGCCAATGGCAACATGATGGACAACATGTTACCTTACAGCCACATGCTGAAATCGCATATACTACCCACAAGGAATTGGAGCAAGGTTCCCATTCATTTGGCCAGGTCTCTCAAAGCGACAAACCTTTTGCCCACACCCATGATTCAAAACCAATTAAGAACGTTCAAATATTTATTCAGCCTGTACCTAGCAATGCACCCCAAACAGTTTCCAAACCGGTTTACTTCACTAATACTCAAGTAGGTTCTGAAAATAAAAAAGAAGTAAAACCAATTAATCAGTTATCTTACCCTGGTGGATTTGGCGAACCTGCAGAAATCTTAAAACCTTCAGGCCAAACTGTGTCAAGCGGCCAAATATTTTCTTCATCCCCCGTGAAGGTTGAACAATATGAGAGTTCAGCTGTAGGATTAACAGGGACTAAGGAAAGTACATTTAATACTGGTTTCGGAGGATCGTTAAATGAAGTAAAAGAAACTGCTCAACCTTCACTGCAGAGCACAAATGTTCCCAAACCTTCTTCATCTAGTCTTTTTGCTGCTTCTTCTCCGGAAAAAGTAAGTTATGACTATGTTTCTACAGAACAAAAAGGCACAGACCAATTTTCAGGCAAACCGTCTGAAAGTAGTTATCTCAATCCAACGGTTTCATCTTGGGAACAGAATCCGACGTTCAATTCTTTACCAATAAGACCAGAATTCGTAGTACAGAAAAAACCAACCGGCGACAATTTCTTTAATACACCTTCACCTTCGCCTTATTCCCCTGAACAAGGTCTTAGTGGAATCCCCGTTTCAATAGATAAAACTAAGCCAACAACTCCATCTGGTAGTTTTGGACAAGTTCCTGAAGTTGTGAAGCCCACTATACCATCAACCATCACTAATAATGGTTTTGCGTCCTCTAATACCCCTTATAAACCAGTTGTTACCCCCACTACACCGCAATTTGACCCTACGAAACAGAAAGAATCATCTTTTGTCTATTTCACTACCCAATCAACACCTGTAAATTCTTGGCAGCAATCTACATATAAACCATCTTTCGATTTGTCTACCCCTGGATACTTCAATAAGCAGGAGACTTCTCCTACAAAGTATCCTTCATTAACAGGGGATTACACTGTTTCCAAACAATCAGAACAATATCCTAGCGGAACTTATAGCACTGTTAATCCAACTACTGCTGATTTTCAAGTCACTTCAAATTTAAATCAACAGTCTGCTAATTATGGTAGTACAGCAGCATCATTTATTACACGGGAACCTACAGCTCAAGTGAATTCGGTTGGTCCCACATCAATAAGTTCTTCGCAAGAACCAACCGTTAAACCATTTGAAAATACCTTAGCAGTAAGTTCTGTCTCTCAATTTTCGGACAGTCCCAAGACTTCATCACCACAAAGCTCTCCAACGGGCACATTTACTGTATCAAAGGAAGTATATAAGGTTCCAACTCAAGTTGTAAGCAATACCGTCTATCCACCCGGTAGTGTAGCGTCAGTGTTTCACCTTACTCCAAATTCTGAGGCATCTCAATTCCACTCCAATTCCCACAAGCATCAACAATTGGCTAACTATGGAGGTGCTTCATCTTTTGTGACACAAAAACCAACAACAGTTAATTTTGTTGGTCAAACTCCCGATGCTACTTCTGGCTCGACATCAGAAAGTTTTTCACAACAACCTAACAAACCAACAGTCCCAGGGTCTAGTTCATCTACTGTATCTCAATCTACAACTTTTGCACAACAATCACCAAACAAGCCATCAGTTGATAATTTTGAAGGAACTGTTCCCGTGTCTGGAGCACCATCAAAAAATCCTCAATATCAGTTTGCCACCAAACCTACGGCGGAAACACGTCCTCAGAAGCAATCAGTGTATTCAAGTGTTTTTGGAACATTAACAGGAGCAGTTAAACCTTCAAGTTATTCTTCTCCTAGTTCAACTAGCTACCCCGGCTCGTCGTCTAATTCCTGGTCCGACCCTAGTTATCTTGCTGGATCTAATGACAAACCTAAACAAACCAATTTCTTTAATCAGAATAAGCCCTCAGTAAGTAGTTTTCCAGAAAAAAAAGAGACATTAATTCCCACCAACCCTACCGCAAAACCTTCCTTACCAGTTGCATCTACAAATGTGGTACAGCAAAGTTCTTCAAGTATCACTAACCAGAATGAAAAAGAATCTACAGCTACTGCTACATCAGGGTCTGGCACCACTTATTCTAAGCCAACTTCTCAACCAACTGTTAGTAACAGTGGAGTGTCCTACACTTCTTTTGCGTCCCCTAAACCGACGAAGCCAACAAATCAATTTTCGACAAGCTATCCCGCAGTATCTACTTTTGGGTCCTCCACTTTTTCTCAAGTGAAACCTCAGTACCAGTTTTCTACGATTCAGCCAGTTACACAGAAAAAACAATGGTACACTAATAATTATGGAACATTTGGAGCAGTAAAACCACATAGTTATCCAGGTTTCTCTACTTCATTTACTACTTTTGGACAGGGATCAGTTGGAGGATTATATGACAAAACGAAGCAGAATACTCAATATACTTCAACAGGTCAATACAAACCTACTATAACAGGTCAATACAATCCATCTCTGACCGGACAGTACAAGCCAACATCAACAGGCCAGTATAAACCTACAAATAACTGGGGACTTGCAGGTCAATCACAGTTCCAGAAGCCTTCTTATCAATCTACTCAAACTGGAGGTTCTTATGTTTCTACTTACACACAAACTACTAGTAAACCATTTGTAACTCTGTCATCTTTTGATAAACAGAAGGTCACGAGCGGAGCTTCTGTTGTTAATCAAAAGGAATCTAGTGTTTCAAGTAGCTTTGCGTCATCTTCTGGTATTGCAAAGCCTACAAACCAACCTTTCGCATCATTTGCTGCCCTCAAACCAACTTCCAGTGGAACGTCATTTGAATCAGGCACAGGCTTCTCAGGCTCATCATTAACAAATGTATCGGATAAAGGTAAAGTTACCTCTTCCATTGTTTCTACGACCTCAAAATACGACGTACAAAAACCTGTTAATCCAACAGTTCAAACTGTCTCTAACACATACGTAACGTCTTCTTTCATATCGGCAAAACCTACATCCGACTTCCAAACTACGGGAACTCCATCATTAGGAAATAAACCTACGTATACTTTCACTGTTCAACAGCAATATGTTCCTTCTGTACAAACTGTTGCGCCTACTAAGGACGCTGAAAATTTTGGTCAGTCAACTAAACCGGTTTGGTCTTCTTCAAATCAAAAAGAATCTGCTTACGCAAGTAACACTGGGGTAGCAACAGGTAATTTAAATCCTACGACCCAATTTGTCGATGGTAGTGATAATTCTCACTTTGTTGACAAAACGCAAACAATTCCGGTAAGACCGACAAACACTGGAAATTTTATTGGGCAAACAACATCTAGTGGTAGTTTTGAAAACCAAAAACCTTTGAACCAATTTAGTGGACAAGTAGGTTCAACAAATGAAGGACTTATTTCTGCTCAAAAAAATCCGTCTTATCAACATGCCAGTGGTAGTTTTGAAAACCAAAAACCTTTGAACCAATTTAGTGGACAAGTAGGTTCAACAAATGAAGGACTTATTTCTGCTCAAAAAAATCCGTCTTATCAACAATCAGGTGAACCGTTTTCATCTACTCCAATCTATCAAGGCAATACAGAATCCTATTTATCAAATTCTCAAGTCCAACCTGCGTCTATAAAACCTGGATATACAAGCACTGGAGAGTCATCGCATCAATCGACACCTCCAAAGTCGATCGCCGGTAACTTCGAAGCTAATTCCGGTCACAAAGAATCTGCACAACATGTACATAATGAACATGTACATTCGAAACCAACCAACGCTCCTTACCATTTTACTTCGCAATCCCATGCTGCAAGCAGTACGGGTGTTGCTACTTCACAATTTTCTACAAGCGATCTTTCTGAACTCGAAAAAGCACAATATTTACAAACTGCTTACAATCCATCTTCAGCAGCTGGATTCAGTACTAGTTTTGAAACACAGCAAAATTCTAATCCAAAAAGTACAGCAACATCCCAAGAAAACTATTCAAATATCGCAGTAGCTAATCCAAACAAGCCATCGGGTCAATATTGGGTTCTTAACTCACAATCGCAGCAAACTGATTTTCAAGCCACAAAACCAAATATAAAAATAACTGTGGTAGGCAAACCTGTTAGCAATATTGCTAGCTCACCATACTCTGGTGGGTTTGGAGGACCTTCAGGTATTTTAAAGCCAAATCAATTTGGTATACCCTCTCAAGGAATTGTTCAAGCCACATCGGATTCTTACAGTGGCGCAAAGGTAGAAACTGATTCCAAAGCAGCTTCATATTCCGGGGGATTCGGAGCACCATCGGGTGTACTTAGACCAGATGAGAAACATAGCATTCACCAGGCCGGACATAATAAGCCCTCATTAAATGGATTCCAGGCTGCCACAAGTCAAGGCGGATCTCAAACAAGTTATCATGTAGAACCTACATTCCAAACTTCAGGAGCTCATGAGTCCATCAAAGAACAGGCCGGCTATGGTACACAAGCTTCCTCTGATGTGCAAGGTACTTCTGTAGCAAATGTAGCTAGTGCTGCATCCAATTCTGAGGCAAATGCTGTAGCTAATGCTGCTGCAAATGGATTTGCTAATAGCAATGCATATGCAAGCAGTGCTGGAGCGGGTAACACTGGCAGCACGTTTGGTGGAATAAATGGTTTCAGTGCCAGTTCAGTCAAGGAATCTGCGACTGCCAGTGCAACGGCCTCAGGCTCCGCAGGAAGCTTTACTACTTTTAAGCGACCTTTAAGCCAATTTGCTGGTTCGCCGGGAGATATTGCTCGTCGTAAGTAAAATAAATTATCATTATCATTATAAAGGCGAATGTTTAGATGATTGAGGGATAGGTGGATGTTTCTTGGAAGGTATATCCAGAACGGCTAAATGACTGAAATTTGGCATAGTTGTAGAACACAGTCTGGAAGATCACAAAGACTATTATTTTTTTTAATTCCGTGTGGATGGAGTCGCAGTTGTATAGTGCTATAAATCCAGTTTTCTAAGTATAATAGAAAAATCTTAATGGCAGTTCTAATAATGTGTACTCGAAAAAAAAATGTTTTCTGGGTTTTGCCTGCCATTTCGGTCGCGTGGAATTAGAAAAATTCTAGTTATAAATATAGCCTATGAATGTTACTCAGTATTAATGTAGGTTTATTAAAATAATTTTTGAAATCTAATACTTTATAGTATTGGTAACCGTTTATCCTTCATCTCAGTTATTGTAAATTAATAGTAATAATTTCTTTGTTTCAGTTTTGGGCAGACGATAATTTTATATGATAAAGTATATACGCCTGCGAAACCTGACATCGACGTATTTCTTGCTAAGCATTTAATGTGAAGATATAAGATGTTGACGAAAAGTTTTGTATTAATGTTTCATTGTGCCATAGTCTTATTTTGTTAAACTCTTTGTACACGATAAAAGGAACCGTATGTGTTTACTGTTATTCATTTTTACAATTTAATACATGAACGCTTTAATTTTAATTGCCGTTTTTTTACCTCCTCCGTTTTCAGTTTTATTACGAAATAGTTCCATCGAAAATTCTGAATTAATTTAAAGTTTGAAAGTAACATGAGGTATTAAAAAATCCTATTTTTTTTAATTCAAGTAAAAACGTTAAACGTCACTCTCCCATCAACATTCATAACTAAGCAAACTTAAAAATAAATACTACCTGGGCAGAGAGAATTTAAGCTCGTATTTGCAATATAAGTTTATGCCAAATGATAAATTTATAGTACGAAGTATAAGTATTAAAATACTTTAGCGTTGATGATTACGACAGTTTACAGGTCATTAGTTATTAGATATATTCTTTATAACACCCGATTCATCGGCCCCATACCGACCTGTCAAGAATCCAATTTATTTCAAACACAACATGTAATCAAAGCTATTATATCCTTTGACAACGCCTCCGTTCGAGTGCCATGAAGGAAATACTAACCAGATATTTTTTGTAATATAATAATCGACAGTATATGACGAGCAGATAACAATGGTTTTTCTTAATTTTAATAAGCCTTTTTGTTTATATTATTCTGCTGTTTATTGATACGTAGGAAAAAACTTTTCATCACTACATTTCTAGGGGAATTATAGGACACTTCGACCACTTCCACGTAGCAATGCAGAGATCGGAGTACGCTGTGGTACCCCTATATTTTATTGCGGCCTTTTCATAAGATAATAAAATTTATTATTAAAAATAATTTTTACTACTTCCCTACATGGTTTAAAATAAAATACAGTAAAAGGAATATCTATTAACTTTTATCAATTCAAAACACGTTATCAACGGACACAATGCATGACCTATGTGTTAGTTATGGCTCACGCCCATTCACAATGTCTACAAAGGCTTGTCAGGGTTATTTTTTGTACACCTATTATGTATTATATAATATATTTCAGATATATGCATACATACTCAACTTACTTTTATAATGAAAACCGGTTTTACTTTGACGTAGACAATAAGAATATAAATCGAACAATTATACTAAATACAGAGGCAATTCATTTTGTGCATTAGATGACACACCGTTTAGTAGTGCTAACCTTTTAAGACCCATCAACATTTGCGACAATCAGGAAAAACTTCATTTCCAGCTCATCCGTAGAAAGTAAGTAGCAGTATATGGATAGAGAAAAAGGAGAAAAGAGACAGGAGATGACTGCAGTGGCGTACTACTCATTTGACAAATCGAAGAACTATGATAACACGAAACTAATACCTAGCCCTATTAAGGGAATTACAGTTATATATTTACTAGGTACTAATATCATCGATCGTCTTTAAGTCATTTAAGCAAATGTCATTTTATTTTTTATTGCCTTTTGCTTCCTACGATGTGATGAAAATGTTTATGTTCATTTTCAATGTTATTACTCTTGTGAATTCAACGTAGCGTTTGATGAGCAAAGTCAATATTACTATTGCCTATTTAAATTGTTATGCAAACTTTTAACGATATAGTAAAAAAGTTTTATTTTAATAAATGTTAAGTCCACTGAAGTTATTCTCACATAACCCCGTTAACTAACCTCCCTTTGGGAAGGTAAAACAAAGAATCTCGCCGAGAGAGTTAGTAGAGCTAAAACCGTTATTACACCTTTAAACAATATATTTTTTAATTATTTTAGTAAGCAATGGTTTGCCTCAATTATTATTCTATCAAGAATTAAGTAAGATGAAAGCTTTGTTTTGTTGTATTTGGAAAAAAAATTAAGCATCATCACATCGAATACCTAGCACTTAATTCTATATGACAGACCTTGAACACGACCCCGGATTTTATAGTCACCTATGCAGACATGTTTATGAATATTGTAAAAATATTTTACCTGCTTTATATTTCTACAAAAAGTAAAGAAGTCAGACACAAAATAAATACGAGACATTTTTATACCGAAACGGTATTCTTATAAACATAGTGTTATATTAACTGCAACAAATAAAAGAATTAACAAACCTTTAGCCAATGTCGATCATGAACCTTTTAACCTCACGTGTTACCTTTTAATATAAAACATTAACCTTTAAATAACCTAACTTATTAAAAAAACAGACACATCGAGTCATAAATAAAAAAAAGCTTCCTAACAACAGCGTCGCTTATACGGCGACTCGAATATTCAAATTCCAGGTATGTTCTACTTCTTATTTTTATTTTAATAAAAAAATATCGTAAAAAACATGAAAATAATAAGTTTCAGAATCAACAAGCATCTGTTAAAGCTCGTATCAAAGTAATAAAAAAAGCAATCGAAATTCGTATAAATATAAACCTGATTCACTCCATAATAGCATAAATTACACAATATCTGCCTAAAGATTTATCAATATTATAATTAGATATATTTTCCATAAAAAATATTTTTAAATAAAATGGCATAGATGTAATGGATCTATGTCAAATTGGAACGAATGAATGACACTAACACGATATTAACCCAATATTGACCATCCTCTTACTAATCTTGTATGTATAATATGATATGAACTTTAGGCTCGTCCGATGTTAAGATAAGATTACATATGACATATAATTTGTCAAAGATGTACATTTGAAAACAGAAACGGGCACAATCAAGGCTGGCTTTAATATGCAACATTATCTTGTCTATTGATCTCGAGATTCCACAATAGATTAATGTTACATAAATAAATTAGTTTTGAGCAACTTTTATTTCAACTAAAAAATAAACAAAAATACAAATATTAAAAAAATGCATGAAAAGATATTGAAATTTAAAGGGATTTGTTTTTAAATATTACAATTTATCGAACTATATACACAGATGTCGTCGTAAAAGCTTTCGGTCCGTATACGCTAATTAAATTTCATATAAATTAAAGTACTGGAAAGTTTTATTAACATTGTCATAGATATAAATGTATCGCTTCCAGGAAAAATTCACAAAGTTTAAAAAAAATACCACGACAGCGAACGTCGATAAGATTATAAAAACAAATATGTAATCAATTAGTAAACCATACATTTTCGATATTCATTATCTATTTTGTTTAGCACGATATTGGACGAACAAGCTCGGCGTTGAGCAACATTTCGCAAAACGCTACCTCGCCTCCGGACGACAATACCGTGACAACCTGTGAAGGCAAACACTTGTTATCTTATGAATAATGCCGATTATGTTAGGTAAACACGCACGCACGCGTAAGAGTGCATTTTTCAATAAATTTTTTTATAGCTTACAGGGTGACCCAAAATCGTGACAAATCAATTTGTTATAAAAAATAATGTTTTAACACAACTCATCTGAACATTATTACACGGTATTTTTAATATTTTCATTAAATCTATAAGCCGTCTTTCCGAGTGGTTATGTAATTTAATTTACAAAAGATTTTTAATCATCGTAGCCTGTAAAACAACGGTTTTTATGCATTTATGTTTCGCATACCCTTTCTTTCTTGAATATTAGTTAGAAGTAGAATAAGTATCTGCTGACGCCGTAACCGAAATTAGTATTAATTTGTCTATTGAAGGCTTTGATAGATGGCTTTTCACAAAATATACAACATTGAGAAATTACCAAACATCTATTAATATGAAATCTAGACAAAGAGAAATAAATTCTTGGTTTTATAAATAACAATAAATAAACTTGCTCATCTCATTTTGACATTTGTTAAAAAATCAATGATACAATATGAAAAAACCTTTTAAGTTTGATCAATTTATCTTATATTGAATTTGATAAATTATTCAAAAATTATATGATTGTCTATTGCACAAGGTTTTCTAACATTTTAAATGTAATATTTCAAAGGTTCTCTTTGTAATCATAGAAACAATTCCAACACAGGTATACAATACGCTACGCAAATATTATTGGGTAGACTATACATTACTTACCATGTTTCGAGGTGTGCAACTGAAATATAGTACGAGGATTTTAAGAAAGTGGTAAAAATAAAAGATGGCTAATACAGAGGTAAATGTTTTTAAAAAAACCACAGCATTTATTTATCGAAAAAGTCGCAAGTTTACGTTTGTTGTATGTACTTAATTCACAAGCATAACATTTAATTACACCTATTTTGTTGATACAAATGGAATACATTTAAGTAGAAAACTCCACGAGGAAAACATCGAAATAAAATACGTGCAGAATAATCGATATCCAAATCTAATTGCACAACGGCACAATAAGTCGTAAGAAAAATTCAGCTTACTCCGAAAATATGCAAAATGGTCAACGTAACGTATTGCTCATTTACGATCATCGCTCGCGATGCATATTATGCAGAAATAAGGCTTCCATACACGTTACGATATTTCTGCAATTCAAAACCATGTTTCTTTGTGTACAGTACCAAATGTCCGAGATGGACGCTTTACAATCAATACGAGGGACATACAAACTTAAGGCAAATTATTATGTGATTGAATCGTAACGTGTGTGGCCGCTATAAAGAACAAGCGCAGTGTTTTAGGACAGCCTGTGTATGCAGGCGACGCACGAGTCACCTAGATTTCGTCGCGCCTATTGTCCGTTGTCCGCCGACCGCCGTCCGCCGGCCGTTGGGTGAGCCGCACCATTACCTCACACTTTCAATATTGGATTACGAGAATTTTACTTCAAGGCCCACTTTTAGGAACAAATACGAAGAGGTATAAAGCCGAAGACCAGCAACAATGTGACGCAGTTTGAGTTGACAGCGAGCCAACATGTACACACCGGTCGTCTTGTTGTTGTGTGGTATCGTGGGTACGTCCACTGCTCATACACATTTATAAAATATATTTTACGCACATTCTACTAGTAACAAGTGATAGAAACAAGAGCACATTGCCAATTGATTAATAACGTATTAGAACAGAAATACCCATTATGTAAATATAATGTTTCTTTGGGTTTAACAAAACTGAGCTAATTAAAGTCCGATTCTATCTAAATCTACCTGTCAGTTTTAATTCTTATTATCAGTTTCCAACTATGCGGTAATTACACAGTGTAAAAATTAACCATTTTTTTTCAATAGGTAGCAGCGCAGCGTATTACATTCAAAGGGATATACCGTACAACACCGGGCCTGTTGAACCCTATCCATTGGGCAACAGTTATAACTTACCCCTGGAACAATCACAACGGCTGTTCTGGGGCAATGGACAAGGCAGTAACCAAGTCGGCGGCACAGGACTTTGGGCGACATTGACTAACAAATTCCCGTTCTTAGGGAACATGTTCGGTCGCTTGGAACTACCGTCAGAGTACGGTCCACCGAAGCAGTTCTATACACCTAACCAGTTTAACCCTCAAGAATCTTTTCGGACGCAACTATACCAAGGATTCGGTCAACAAGTGCCCTTCGGTAGAGATGTAGCGATCACCGATGATGCAGTGATCGTGACGCCTCCTCAAGTGCCTATTGCCTCGCAGCCCATACCCGCACCGGTGCCCCAGCCAGCCCCAGTGCCCCAGCCACAACCATCACCCGGCTATAACTACGAAAAGCCACGCTATAGGCTAGAACTTCCACAAAAGTATTATTAATTAATTACTTATCGCAATTTCCTTTGCTTTTAGTTGCATTTTTAACATAATAGAGATATGCATTTACATCCTAAGTATTAATATCTTTGTGATGTCTACGGGTATTTAACCATTATAACCATCAAGAGGCTCTCTTTTTAAATAATAAACATTATTGTAATTAAAGAAATAAATGTTTGTTCATTATATAAATGTTTTTATTTTTCAAGGTCTTATCTTACATGAATTATTTATGTGTGTTATTTCATTAATTTACGATCACATCCATCCATTACTATTATTAATCTAGCTAATCAAGAATCCCACCTGCAACGCTATCCGAACAAAACAATTTATATTCAAGTTTTCGGTGATATATTTTTATTACAATGTGAATCATTCGATGCTAGATATTATTTTGTATTCATGTTTAATTAACAATAATTTAAAATTTTCGTCAAACTTGTTTCCAGATTACGTAATTGCCAAAAAAAAGAAACTTTCCATTGCAGTGTTTAGATAAAAATTACAAGTGGTCTTGGATATACGAGTGGTTACGACAAAATATAGTTAAAATAAAATTGATAAAAAGTCATTTAAATTCTTAAGGGATGCATTTCCATTTTTATGATGAGATTTAATTCGAGACAGATGTGTACTGGTCGTAGTATCCCTGGCCGGAAGAGTCCAATCCTACAGAAGAGCTTGCGGAAACAGAACGACCACCTGTCACTGGACCAAACTGACGACGAAATCCACCAGCACTATGAACAAAAATAGATAACATTATTAAAATAATGTATTTCCCGGTCGATCAGAAAGTTCATTTATTGCCCGATCTTTCAAGAGCGTCTTTTCTTCCCCGCTTACCTACGAATAATGATATTAATAACTCCATATTCATATCTTTTTTTTGGATTTGTAAAACATAATTATATAAAAAAACATAATTTCCTTTTGAAAAACTTTGTAAGCAATACTTAATTATACCTAAATGTTTAGGGTAAATAAAGCTTGCAATATTATATAGCCAGCCTATAATTAGACTATTTTTTCATGCTACAGAACCTCGCTTTCCCCATTTCAGAATACCAATCGACAAGAGAATAATATCTCAGTGTTACTTGACTTTTAGAGAGTTTCTTAATACTCGTAGTAATGTGTACGACTATATTTACTTATACAATTTACTTACATGTATCTATGTATAGTAATATTATTACTGTTGAACCTGGAGAAGGGGGAACGGGAAACCTTTATACGCGAGAAAAATTCCTCAGTCCCTTGGACTTTCGCTTATCCAGATTCTAATGTATTTCATTTAAGATTAAGAAGAGCATCTCTTTGGCTTTTGTCAATTAACTTGGCAGATTATAAACGTTAAGTAGCATTAACATAATACGGCTATTTATTATCCAATATAATTATAATCGTCGCCATGTATGGACGCAACTTTCGTAAAGACCTTTTTGGTAATATTTCTTTAAGGTCAAAGAAGGTTTGATTTTGTGTTATGTATTTGTTATATGTTTATGTACAACTGATAAACATAATATTGGTATATGGGTAGGGCGGTGAATAAATTAATTATGCCAGGAATAATGCAAAAGTGACCTGAGTTAGTGAACCTTTATACGTAAGCAACGAGTCAATTTGGCAAGTCAAATAAAACAGTTTTAATTTATTAAAAACTATCAATTATTATAATTTAGTTAATTATTTTTTATTCTCTTCTTTGATTGGTAATATAAGTAAATGGAACAAATCAAAAAAAATCCATTCCATGCAGTGTGTTTTTGTTTTTGTTTAAATATATGCATATTTAAATTAAAGAAGCGACATCATTTAAATGGCCTTGATCTTGACTCTAACTTAATTCTGGTTTATATTATTCGAATATGCATTAATTATTATTAATTTTAAGCTTGAATTCTTAACCATTGTTGTCGCTAATTATACTTAGAATAATTTATAGTTTTTGAAAGTTATTCAAAACGTGACTACAAACTTTTAACCATTACCTACGAAGGGACTAGCACGAATATTTGAGAGAAAGTATTCATAACGTCATCGACTAAACTATGTCATATTTTCATATCGTCAGATTGCGAACTTAGTTTGAAAGTTCACAATCTGGTGGCAAATCTTTAGTTACCATGAAAGATTAAATCATCACTAAGTTCTCTCACTTATCAGTACCCCTTAACTTATATATATATATATATATCAACCTTAAGCAAATCTTACTTGTCTGCCTTTTACATAATAGGTAAAATGTTCTTGGATAAAGAGCAAAAAGAATTAAAGTTTTTATTTAAAAAGCGCCTGCCAAAAAATTACGACTGATTGTAAACAAAACCACTTTGCACGTTTTTAACATTAAATCTATATATGCTTTTATTGCGGCAATTTTTTAATAACGCAAAAGTTAATCGTATATCAGGACAAATATAATATTTTTATTTTGTGATTAAATAAAAAGTAAATAATACAATGGAATTTCCCTTTTATCCAAATGGATTCAGATCAAAAACAACAGTGGAAAAGTTTAATTCACAATGTCCAGTCTTTATTTTCTTTAATGTTTGCTTGTTTCTTTAATCTTTTACTTTTACACTTTTAATTCGATTTTCATTTTGTGTGGTCTTACTTTGTAGTTATTGGCATCATGTTGCTCGTTAAAAGCACTAGCCTAATATATATTTACAACATTACATCTTACCTTTCCCTCCTTACTATTAAAAATGTCACAAGTTCCCTTTTATTTAAAAAGTTGCCAAGGCGTCAACGATAACTTTTAATTTTAATAAGCAACAAACCGATTAAAACATTTATTCGAGTCTTTTACTTTAGCGTTTATTTCTTTTAGTAACTGATTGGAGCTAATCGAAAAATCATACACCCAAGTTATAACTGTTTTTGTTTACATTGTAAGTAATTTGTATTGAAATGGTTGTATTAAAGGTAAATGTTAAAATTAACGTAGAAGACATTTATTAGTAGATATTAATTACAATAAATAGAAATGTATCTTCCGGCAGCTGCACGGGAGAAGCCGGGGGCTGCGGAGCAGCGGCGGCGGCGTGCAGCTGATGGAAAATGCGCGTTCAGGATGGATGAGCCGACACCATGGAGTTAGTTCTGATCACTTCAACGTAGCTTACATTAATGCCTACGAACACAAATGTTAATAATTAGTATTTAGTCGTTTACATTGTTACAAACATGGAAAATGTAAAACGTGTCTTAACTTAAGTTTTCGTTTATAATTTAAATGTGGTATTAAAACAAAATAATAACAATCAAACAAATTATTTGGCGCAATTTCGTTTGAAATTTTTCTGATTCAAGCTAATAACGTCTTAATGTCTCATTAAAACATCTTATGCAAGTAGACACAAGAGTCATGTAAGAAGTAAGAATCATGTAAAACTTGCATTTAATGGATATGCAAATCTTGCATTTAATTGATATGCAAGATTACACCTAAGGTTTTCATGGATTAAAGTTATTGTTACATATAAGTTATGATAACTTTTAGTAGGTATTGTTTGATTTTAAAAAAATGTTTTTAAAATGTATTTTGTATAACTCATTTCAAATAACTAGGCGTGGAAAACGCGCGTTGTACAATGCCCTCCTCCCCCATACCTCCGCTACACCAAGTTTGTTTTCAGCGCAGCAGCTCGTGCGAAGTTAAAGACCTCCAAATTATTTATAAAGAGTAATAATTACCTGAGAGCGGCTGGGTTAGATGCGCCGTAGCCTCCTTGAGGCACGCTCCAGCCTCCTGCACCCGCGTACGCGTTAGCGTTAGCGTTGGCACGAGCTTCGCCGCCTCCCCCTGGAATATGAGAAAATACCTTTCAATACAAAGGCCAAATATATACAATAAATATATACGATACCACCAACAAGAAATGTCTTATGCAAAAAACCATCCTGTTAGCCCTATAAAATTTGTACATAATTAAGCTCCGAGTCTACCTACTGTTTATAACAGATAAACAAACTTCAGCATCAAGAAATTGCCCTAAATATTTGATTTAAATTCCAAAAGAAACCTTTCTAATTTTGTATAATTTATGTCATAGCCATGGCCACATACATTGATTGCTACAATAAATTAAAAAGCTTGGGCGTAGGTGCAAAAGAGAGCACCCGTCATTTCGATTAAACCACTCAATAGTCTAACCTAGATATAGGATTTATCTATAGCGTCGGATGTTTTTTGTAAACTGCGACGCTCAGTCGCCAAGTTCGAAACCGTTATACGAACGGACGACAAATATACCGTCGGAAAACGAACGCACTTCACGTAGAAATTATCTGTTACACGGTTCATGTTACGACTACACTCGCGCATACCAAATGACCATTTAGACGAAGTGTGCATCGTGTGCATAAGTAATTTGACCTTACGAATGCACAAGGAACTTTTGAAGTCATTAAGATCGAAGCCTGGTCAGTGTTTCCCCACTTTATATTAACAACTGTAGAACAGGAAGTTGAAAACATCGATGATTCGAAATATCACTACCAGGAAAACGTGACTAAGTTTAAAACTAAACACGCTTGATTAGGTTGCATCACGACTATCAAAAGCATCTGACGATGTTTCAATCGTGTCCAATTAACGATTAGTTTCTTTATCCATGTCTAAACTACCAATATCCTAATTGATAATATATTCATGTTAAAAAACGAAGACGATAAACGTCTAAAATAAACAATTTATACACGTAAAAGATCATTTTAACATTACTATCAAAATGTACAAACTGAGCACTATTACTTTTTAAAAAACGTGGTGTTACCAAAAACAACAACAAAAGAATGAACAATGGGTTATCGTTATAACAGTCGGCGCTTCACTCGAGCTTACAAAGCTGCAAGTTTTTACAAACGAGTATTCACTTAACTCTACCATAGAAGGCACAATAAGTGTTACTTAGTCCACATCGCCACAGACGTAAGAACAAATGTAACACACCGTATTTGATTCACAAAGTAAAGTGTGTATATTAGCAGTTTTCATTTATTGTGTTCTTGTGAACGTGGGATAGAACTTTTTTGTATCTGTGGTATAATTAAATGTCAAATTGAGAGGGTATCCTTTTCGTTTATTCGTTAAATTAACCTTTAATAAAAGATAACTGACCTATTTATATCTAATCGAAACTATTATGTAGATATGTTAACATTTAAAAAACCAAATCTAAACATAAAGAGAAAAAATAAAACTATTACTTGCATTTTAAATGCATTTAAAATAGCTAACACGTTAAGTAGTTCAGATGTAATGAAGACGCGGTTGTCATTGCTCTCACGTATTCGTACAAGCAAAGAATACAGTAGAATTTCAAGGTAACGGGTAACGGTATATAGAAAGATGCGATCGAGCAGTTAATTAAACAACGTTCGACGAGCCGAGACACTTCGTCAGCCGCCAGTCGTCCAGCGGATGTACGGTTAGCAAAGTGCGTGCCTTGCTTAGGGAACAGTTCGAACATAAGCTATTATTAAAATAAAAGCGATACTAAAGAATGCGGGACTAATACATACTATTAGATGTACTGAATTAAGGCCAATTTTTAAAACCAGGTTGAATAATCACCTTAAGTGAAGCTAAAGCACCGTTGTAATTATCGTAGTCAATAATCTACATCTAATATAGTACTCCTATGCTGTACATAGCCATATTAATATAGTGTAAAGATTTGTATTTTTGTATGTAATGAATAAATTCAAAAACTATTGGACCGATTAAAAAAAAATAATATTTCCGCGCGTATGAAATCGAGGGCAAAAGCTATTATTTACAATTTTGGATTGGATTGTGATTAGAGTGGGTAGTTTTATGAGAAGAGCGAGTAGGTTGCAATGCAAAAGCCTACTTATTATTATATTATTACCACGTAATATCATTGTAGAGAGAGGAGTCAAGTAGATTTGTACTAGTTTGTTCAGGCTATAGAAATATTTTAAAGAAAGAATTCATCGAAGTAAAATTTTCGATAGAAAATATTGTAAAAAATTGTGATAACAAAGAACTGAAACGAGACTATTTAAAAAAATAAATGTTATTTTGTTTTTATTATTAAAAGTTGTTTTGTATATACGTACGTAATGTAAAAGTTGTTTTCATTGAAGGTCTAAAAAAGACAGGACGGAGATTCTCAACCGATTAAAGTAAAAATTATTTGATAAACTTTAAAATAAAAACAAGTTGTATTTATCTTGACATTATCAACAGTATATTAAATAAAAGTTTATTGCCATTTAACCAGATCGTATTTATTTTTTGTTATTTCTTCATAAAGTAAATAAATACATGAACGCATATAAAATATTTATTTAAAGTGTCAGACTGTGTAGTTGGCAGAGTTAATGAGACATTTTTATTTTAAGGGTAGGGTTTTCTTGCTCAACTTGTCTTATGAGCAAGTTAATCAGAATATATGTGACACCCGGTAAGATAGTCCAAGAAAGGTATATACGTGTATATAAAAGTCGAGGAATAAAGAATTACTGTGCTGTAATGATTTTTTTCTTTTCTATAATTACAGATCATTTAGACATTAGCGGCATTCACATGGATATACCGGTTTTCACGTTCTAAAGAATAAAGTCCTGAATGTAACGTTTAAATGGTGTTAGATGTGGTTTAAAGTTTAAATATCATCTAACACATGTCGTATTATTTTTTAACCGTTTTTATACTAACACCAAAAAAATCTTTGTCGGAATCTACTGGAGTAAACAAAAAGGCTTGCCCTATATCAAATAATGTTAATTTCGCTTTTATTATATGATTCAAATGATGAGCCCACCCCGCCCCAGCATCCCTTTACGTCGTGCCGATACCTAAATTTATATTATTCGCCTCTCGTACATATTTGGGACCTGCAAAAAAGTTTAGATAACATTGTATTTCTTACAACTGTAAGCATTCGCGTTCGCGTTAGCGCTCGCGTCCGCGCCGCCGTATCCGTAGGGGTAGGGGCTCAGGGACCGGCGCAGCCTCCGAAGTGGCACTGGAGCGGACGCGTGTCCCTCCGAGTCAATCGTGTAGTATGCACGTGGAACGTAGAACTGGCCATCTGAAAAAAAAACCATAAAAAAATTACCGAGAAATCCACATCATCATTTTCCTGTCCTTGTCCCACTTTATTTGGAGTCATCGCATCGGCGGCGATCTGTCATTTCCTGAGTATCGAAAACCTTTAAAAAAAATTGGGGCCACTCTTCGGCCAATACCATACCTCCTGGGGATTTCAAGTAAATAAAAAAATCTAATATACTTAGACTTCACTACGTCAAATGTTAGAAAAATTGTACCTTCATAGTTTGCTTTTTGGGCTTTTAAGTTTGAAATGAATTTATGAAATCAAGGAATAATGGGAGCTTTGGCATAACAGCTTATATCATTTGAGCTTGATTCGAAATGCAAAATGAAAGTTATTTATTGTAAGCTATATATGATAAATTGTTTATTTTTTCCATTACAAGGTGAAATAAAAAAAATGTACGGTTGTTAAGATAAAAAGGCACATATTAGTCAGCGGTCTGAGATCATCATTACACGAGTATGTACGATTCGTGAGCTTTCTATAGCTACGTCCTTAAAATATCGTGATGATAGAACAAGCTGTAGGTCATCTTTTAAGTAGCATTCAAAATGACAAACATAAGACTATTCAACAGAAAAATACCTAACGAAGTATTTATTTATATTGAAAAGATCACAACTAAGGCTTCGTTTTAAATTAAAATTCTGCCATGTCAAGGGTATATGCCATTGAAACTTTTAATGTATTGTACGAACAATCGAAAACAATAACATATATCAGTACAAAATTGGAACTCTCTGAAATTATTTTTGCTTGAAACAAAAGGCAGCAAAGGAAAAAACGGCTCGAGTAAGTGATGATTTCTACCCATCAACGTTAGCAATAATTAGTAAAGTTACAACTATAATATGCAATAGGAAAAAAAGAAACAGTAATGAAAAAAGAAAGCATATATGGAAGTTGCTTTTCTTGATAAAGTAAGTTACACGAAGCAAAACTTCTAAACGGAGCTTTCAGTCCTAATTTTCACGGACATTTAGTTACTGATATATATAAAACTACGAATCATTGTATTTTATACTGGTTATGGCCTTGTATGTACAATTTTTATAGGCATTTGCTTATTTGATGTTTTGTAATGTCAGTTTTTTTAGAAGTAGGTGATCACAGTTTGTGGAATTAAATGATAATATTTTCTAAAGAATTTAAATTTTAATCATGAAATTTCTTATATTAGATATTAGACACTAAAAGTAAAGCTGTGGTTTTCCTCCAAGGGATTCATGGTTGAATAGTTTCGATTTTACCAGGAAAATGAGATTGAGCATGCAAAACGAAAGATCTACAATAGAACTTTATCTGAAACTAATCTGAAATTACTTATACAATCTAAAGTTAGAGGAAACTATGACAGGTTAAAGCGCGGTAAAAACAAGGGGGCCACTAACCTGCGATTGCCACGGCCGCGACGCCGACCAACACGAAGAGAGTGACGCACTGCATGTCGAGTGACGTGTTACCTCCTCAGGTACAACTTTAGAACTGGCTTTAGCACATTCGCGTGCACCTTATATATAATATGACATCTCCCGTTGACGCCAGGCCTGCACTCGTGCATCACTTTGAACGCTAACGGTCGCTCTTAGCAAAAAATTGCCATCAAATTAGCTACATGATATGACTGAAGTAGTAACAAAAAATAGAGCTTCTTACATTTGGTTACTATCTAAATAATTAGATCGGAGCTTGACATAGTAAGATATTTTAATAAGTTTTTCTATCGAGAACTGTTAATGAAGATATTTCAAATTATCTCACAAAAACAGTAATTTGGGTTTGTTTTACAAGTGTATAATACTTCACTTTTTCAGATAATTGAATTACAAATCGATTATAATTAAGAATATAATATACTTAATAAGCCTACAAACATAATTAAAGTGCGGAAATACTTTCTGATAAAAATTAAGAAAATTCTAGTCTTATTGGAATACTCAGATATACATAATTTCTATAAATGTGAAGCATGCTATAAATCAGAAGAAAGCAGTCTTGTGTTATATGTGCCCCGAGAAAAAGCATTGGAGCAAATAAAGAAAGCTGTATTTGGTAGTATTGACGTAATGCCTTAAATAGTGCGGAAGCGATTTGGAGATTAGATGTAATTTTTGAATAGAGTTTGGGTTCGGCTATTCGAACCTATAGGTTAATTTTCTTTTGCCTCTACTATTCTTTTGAATTATTTTACTTGATATAAAATTAATGACTATACATTTTAAGAAGTAAGACCATCTGATATTTAATCCCATCGGCAGGTAGATTTAACGTTTAGTTTAAACTATTACTTCGATAGTATATAATTAAATTTAAAAAAAATTACATTTAAGAGTAACATTTGTTTATCATTGGCGCATCTGAAGGTAATCATGACAAGTATCGGCTAATGAACACAAGTAAAATGCAACATTAAACTTTCCGAGGCCACGTAACAATGCACTGCATTTTATGATTTTTACGAGTGCTGCCAATCATTTACCATGTATTTAATAATTGATGGTTTTAATTGGGTTTTCAAAAGATTATTTATTGATAGGGACAAATGTTTCGTCTCGATATCGAGTCTACAAATGGTTACCTTAACACACATTTTGGTGATTAACTTTAAGCAGGTCTTTAAAAGGCAAGAATGTTCAATGGACGAAAATAAAAGAAAACGGTCACCACGGAAGTCTCATGAAGTCATTTGAATCTCTGTTTGACCCTTTACTGCGATGATTACAGAAAGAAAGAAGATTCTGAATCGTTACAAAAATAATTATAGCATAAAACTTAATTAGGAAAATCTTACCTGCCAGGAATATTGTTTAAAACTCATATTCCAATAGTTATTACATCACATACATAAATGAAGAAAACAATGATCAATTAACACGACAGTTTATTTTATATTCGGATTTTACGCGGTTGGTACTTATTTTTAATTTATGTTATAGTTAGGTATTATTCTTTGTATAAATACGTTAAGGTAAATCTCATTAACTTATGTTATTGCATCTTGCTAACATGACATAGTGTGTTTGTTTCCACCGCAAATGTGAAATTATCAAATATCATTCCAGGAGGGAACCTCAAGGTATATACTTTATTAGACTTAATTACAGTATAGTATTCCGTATCCGAATGTTCATATCTATGCTCGATCGGTAGTTTGTCAAAAAAAATTGTACAGAGTTTTAAAATATTCTGTACTTCGATGTCTGCTAATTTTCAAGTGGTTTGCCTCTGGTTTGGTGCCAGAAACGTACAGACAAAATTGAAGTGAGCAAACCTGATATGTCCCTCGAGATACACCAAGTTAACTTCAATCGGTTTTAACTACATAGGAAATTACTCCGTACCTTTTTTGGGTAGAAATTTATGCAGTGCCTTCCTTCCTCATCCCGTTATATTTAAATATTCTACGTAGCGACGTATGCAATATTCTGAGCCGCTAAAATATTTGGCAACGTCAACAACTATTCCTTAGGCGGGGCTCCTAAAAGCACTGATAGAATTTAGGAATGTAAGGGTATAAAATAAAAAATCAATTTAAAATTAAGAAATAAATTCTTACAAAATTTATTATGAAATAAAAAATACAATGAAGCTTTTTAAATTGACAACATTCATGGAAAATTATATGATAAGTAATGAGCATAATTTCAATTAGGAAGAATAATTTCACGCCGTTCTTTTTGCATAACAAATATAAACAATAATTAGGTTTCAATAATTTATCCCCATACAAAAAAAATCAGTCAGCGCATGTCAAAATCACTTATAAACAATTTTTTACTATTACAATTTCAAAATATATATTAAGAGCACCAAATTTAAAAAAAAATAAACGAACTTTACATGGCTTTAGCCTTATTTTCTGTAAAAATAAAAAATACCTTAAAATTGTAACTATCACGAAAAATATTCATAAAATAATTTAAAATTGGAATCCACAATACATTGAATAAATGTTTAATATTGTTTTATATCAATTGTATTAAAAATGCAAAAATTATCAAATGGAATTTATAATGTTGTGTGCACATACATCGCCACAGTATATCTTCTTATCAATATATTTATACAAACAACATTTTAACCTAGACTTTTAGTTTTTACACTTTAAAAGAGATATTTTTACAACCCTGTATCCACTATATTTTACGACAATATTGTGTTACTCAGACAATGCAGCTTTTTGAATACATAGACAGCACAAACACATATAAAACTGGTTAAAATAAATTACGTACAGAGATAGGCCCAAATAAAAATCACATTTATTTCAAGCTTCTTTAACAATTTGTATTATTAATTAGAATTAATACGAGTGTTAGAAACTTGTATGGAAACATATTTATTTGTTTTTACAGATATTGTATGTAAGAAAGTCATATGTGGAATTATATTAAAATATATTTTTGTGGATTTAATTTTTTAAATAGTCAAAGATAGTTAATTAAAGTCTTTGTCGATTTAACTGTCAAATTAATCAATTGATGTCATTTAAAACAAGACCATAAAAGTGGAAAGCTAAAAAAAAATATTTTGTACTGATTTAATATAAAAAAAAACGTTATTGTGCCTATCTGCGTATTATGTTTATAAATAAATTACGTTACATGTCATGAAATGCGGTTAGATTACAATTGAAGTTTTAACATAAATTTTTAAATAAATTCCTTATACATATGGAAGATTTTTAGTAACTAGGAATTTTGTGCTTCAGTTTGTTACATATATAAAAAAATCGTGTATAGTTCTACATTGAATCGGGATGGGGACAAGCTAACTTTCCTTAGCTAAGTTAGGTTGTGCGTGTTCACTTAGCTTTGACTGCCGCCTGCCGCTGCCTCAGCGTCTTGTTCGTGTTTTGATCCACTTCGGGTAAGTCAGAATCATCGGCGGGGATCTTTTTAACTGTAAATTTAATGCAATATAAATTTCAATTCAAAAAAAACTTCATAATTTTTTTATATAGAAGATAAGCAAATTGAAATAAAGATTTTTGTATAAAAAGGACATATTTACCCTTTTCCTTCTTAGGTTTCTCCTTCTTTTCCTTCTTGGGCTTGCTCAGCGCCAATTGACGAGCTTCCTGCCTCTGCTTGATGGCCTCCGTGATAAAGTTGAACATTAAGAACACCTGGAAAGTAAATTCACACTATTTGTTAACGGAATTTTAATTAATTATATCTATGAAAGCAATTACGATAACAATATAGACTCCCAATATAGACTTTTTCAAAATTTACTGATTCAAGTGAACCCTGCAACTACATATATTTTACATCAACCACAATGTATTCTAGAAAGATCACCCTACATTCTCATTCACAAAACAAACATGATTTTAACAAATATGACCATATTAGGTCACATCAACGTCAGACTAAAAACAATATTTTGGACTATTGCCCGATCAAACTGAATATATCCCTTAAGAGACTCACATAAGAGATGTTCATTGTATTGATATCTTACCTGGAATGTTACTAAGACAGAGAGTGCAGCGACTCGCACAAGGAGGGGCGCGACACCCGCCAGTCCGTAGTAGAAAGTGAGCACGCCCAGCACCAGCGAGCACAGGCGTACCGTCACAAACACCGCGCCGTTCACCACGCTCAGGACTGTCACACAGACATGTTACAAGTCACCAACAACCTTGTCAGTCAGTCAGGAAAATAACATATGTCCATGTCACCAATCAACTGACAACTGTGTCAGTGAGTAAATCATCAAACATGCTTTGTACTAAAATCTAATGTATTATTTTCAACAGTTAATACTAATATCCAATTTTCAGCTCGGTAAATGTATCTTAGTCTCTATGTACAATAGTTATAATTTCAAAATGAATGTAGAATGTTGTGTTGAAATGAATACATACATTTGTCTAAGTAATCTTCACGTTCTCCTCTAAGGATGGTGTTGAGACGGTAGCTGTGAGCAACAAACTCGGCCAGGGAATGCAGCACCATGAGGCAGACTCCTACGCGTTGGAATCTAAATTGGGTTTATAATTGTTCAAATTACAAACAATGAACACAAATAAAATATTCAAATGCAATGTTTTCAAAACTTATTATGTTTAAATGAATGGAAAAAATAATTACTACATATTACATAATTACATATTGCATTCTAATTATGTAATATGTAGATTAAGTAACATTATAAGTTTCATTACATTATTAAAAAAGTAATTACAAAATACAATATCACAACACAATAATAATACAATACAATCACTTTTTACTATTTCGCAATAACTCTTTACAATTTTTTCAAATTTAAACACATATAGCCTAAAAATTGCATTCTGTACAGTTTGAATAATATTAATAAACATTTATTTCAAAGATAAAACCATTAGGAAAACTTACTTGAATCCATATGCAGCAGCAACAAAAGCGAAAGCAGCAGCAGCATGTCTGATGCGACCGGCCCATTCATCCTTCTTAACCTTCTGGAAGTACAATTCAGGAATGGTGTGCACCCAGTATGCAGCTTGAACCACCCACCACAACTTCAAAAGGAAGCTCATCGGGTGATCAGGGTAACCTTTAATAAAAGAAGGTTTTAACATACTATCATTGCAAAAAAAAAATACTATTAAAAATAACATTGGTTAATATTCTAAGTGATCAAGTAAAACCTTGTGTCGGACGGCAATGCTTACTGTGGGTTGCTGCACCAACAGAGTATTCAATATTCAAAGTTCTTATCAGTATCACATATATTTAAAGCTTATCTTAACAGTTATCTTTTATATAACAGTCTATTATGGTAAAGAATAGAAATAATATTTACCATCCCATAGGTATGAAATGTTGAAGATAAATCCTTCACGAAGAATAGCATCACCGCCCCATAACAGAGTTACAAGGTGAAACACAACCAATTGCCCAGACTCATTTAGTGCACTCAGTCTTGATTTAGAAAGATGATATTTCTTTGATATTTTCTAAAAACAAAAGTAAACATATTAACTGTATCATTTTTTCTTTTTATCATTAAAATAAATAATTCTGCTAAGGTAAAGTTCTACTTACATCTAAGAAATACTCTTGCAGGATAGCATGCATTACTATGCACACTTGTGAGTAGAAAAATACTGCACAAATATCTTTCCAACCAGCTTCATACAAGAATTGCTCTCCTTTTGGCACATCCCTGGTTGGCTCAGTACCACTGACATTATGATGTAGACTAATAAATAAACTCGCAACAGGACTTGTCGACTGCAAAGCAACAAAATTAAATTTTTACGCACTATTCAAAAATTTTTTTTTTAGCTTACGTGGCATCCGTTTTACACTTACCTGGACCATTAGACCGACTAAGAAAACCATAACAACGCACGAAACGATATCGGCATGGTTTTGAATTACAAATTCGTGGCTAAAAATCGGTGGGTTCTTGTTAGATTTTCTCCCAATTGCAGGCTTTACACCCATCGTTCTTGATAATAACCTAAAACAATATCCGTATTGTGTATTTCACTTTAAATACCAATGGAACACAGTTCCTATGAATAACAAATCACTGATAGAACACAGATTTTAGCAATTTAAATGAAAACCGTACCACTAGGCAGCCTCTTGCAGTTAATCAGAAATAAGAATAAAAAATTACTGACAGTAATTCAACTGACGTGACACTTTCACTTGCTACGCGGTGAAACGTCAACAACCTGAAATTGATGGTGATGTTTGTTGACGGCCGAGTTGGCACTTGGAGCGCCAAAGCAGTGCTTTAATTAAATTTACTTTTGATTATAAGATTCGTAAAAATGTTGAACTTGAGTATAATTTATGACTGAAATTATAAAATCAAATATTGCAATTAGATAACAATAATTTGACGTTTATCATTATTTGGATGATCTAAAATAGCATTTACAACGCGGAAGTTAAGTTACATTATTACCTACCCTTACTTAATAATCTATGATTAGAAACAGTTTAATAATCGAAACGTTTTTTCCAGAGAAAATGTTTTAAAATTAAATGAAGTGAAAGTAAAATTAAGGTATTTGCAAAACTTCTTAGAATTTTTTTAAAGCAAAAGTAAAATTATATGTCATTATAATATGTACATAATTTAATTTTTTGTGAAAATTGTGAAGTAATATTGTGAAAATATAGTGAAGTTATAATTTAAAATAAGTAAGGAAGTGTGAAGAGAAATCTTTAAGAATTTCTCAATTTTGCAGTAAAATGCAGTTTATCTGTGATTTTGATTGGAAGGCATATGGTAGAAAAAAAAGCGAATTTAAAGCAATTATACTTTTATTGTTACAAAATGACTAATGTAAAATAATAAATTCAATAGTTACCTACTAAAATACTACTTTTAAAGCCTATCGTCGTTCTCAAACTGATTCTATTACCGTAGGTTTTCACTGCCGCGACACTGTGCAAAAACATTTTGTCATTCCTTTTAACATCCTTGGAAAAACTGAGTTAACAATGTATGTTTTTGTTTGAGTACACTACACAACAGCAAAATAATTATGTGTAATTGGTATGAACTAATACAGAATTTATAAAGTTAAAAATAAAAATTCATACACAGCATTATCTATTTTATTGCAAATCCATGTTAATAAATATACTTTGGCAAAAAAAATCTTAGCTTTTATTATACAAAGATCCTCCATTGACATACTCTTTACATATAAATTAAATTAAAATGCCTTTGATGCTCCTTAAACTTTACTACTAGAGGCATTGGTTGTATTAAATTCTAAAAAGTCCTTGAGCAATGTCGTTCGTCGTTTTTCAGCGATGTCCATTTGGTTTTCTAAGTCCCCGCGATGAGTCGTCTCCGCTCTTTCCACCTTCCATGAGAGATTTTCTATTTCAGCTTCCAACTGAGCCTAGATGTAATAACAAAGTTATTTAAAACAACATAAATCACGCCTGTATTCCAGAGGTGTAGACAGAGAGCACAGGCTTCCATTTTGGTCCTGATATACCTTTCTCTTCGCCATACATTCCCATAGAAATATGTAGATTTTGGGGAATACCACCTCTTCGTCAATAAGTCTAATTATTTAACAATTATAATATTATAACTAAAGCCACTAGAAAGTTGATGACAGAGGTTTTTCTATGTTTGATTAGAGTAGACAAGAGTTTTTATTTTTACCTGTTGGTATTCAAAGAGTTCCTTCCTTGGTCCAACCTCCATATAATATGCAAAAGGGTATGTGTATTGAAGTGTGTAGCGACACCGTTTTAACAAGCGCGCCGAGTCCCAAAGATATTGCCAGTCTATCCAGGTACCCTCTCCTGCCATTACCTAACAATCAATTTCTTTTTACTGAGATGTGACAAGCAAAACATTAATAAAATACTATGATTAATAGTAATCAGGTTCACTAGCAAATATTTACGTAATTATTTTGGCCAAAAAAAAATTGTCCGAATCATTTTAATAATATACAGAATAGATGTTCCTTTTCTATTACCTTTCGATTGATACGAGTTTTTAAACAAGCTAAAGTTTGTTCTTCTAGTTTCAATGATCTAGCATGATTTTCCCATCGTTCATAATAATGTAAATATTTCTTAAGTGCTTCTCTAGCCTGAAATTAGAAAAAAGTTTCATTTATATCACAATACTTATTAATATTTTAAATATAAACAGGTAGTTTAAGTTACCAATGAAGCACCCTTGAACAAAGTAATATTTAAAGTGGACATAAACATATGGAACTAATTATAAATTTAGATACACTCTATTCATAAATTTGTTCCTATATTTAGTCTTATTGAATTTCCTAGCAATATTGCTTTTATCTATGTGAGTAGCTTACCTGAGCATGTTGGTTATCATTAATTAAATTAGGATCTTCTTTGTAGCGACTGCATTCATAATATTCAGAGCCATGAGACTTCCAATCCCCCAAGCAGACCCAACAAAAATCATATCGGCAAGCCCCACACTGCATATGATTACATCCCCCATTTTTCTCAATACAAATTTGACATTTAGGACAGTCCTGTATTTAAAAAAGAAAAATAATTTTACTTTTAATAGTCTTTTCAAAGAATATAAACTCATGATTTATATAGAGATGACATAATGTTTTGATGCCACCTCTACAAAAATATAAATATTATTTTTAGACATTTTTTAAAAAGTAAGCATAAGAAATTGTTTGTCTTCTTCAATAATAAAGTGACAGATTTGTATTAAATGGAAATCTGAATTTTTTATATTCAATTTTGTGACTTGTGTTACAAACCTTTGTATGAGCACTAATATAATTAGCAGTCTCTGAGTCATCAGCACATTTTGTCAGCCACTTGCGAATGGTGGCACAGTCAGTGGGTGCATGATGCGGTGCTCCACATGTGAAGCATGTCAGTAACTCACAGCCTAAGCATTCAACACGTCGAGCACCTTCCCGTGCAACGGCGTGATAAATCCACTGCAAATAAAATATTTTCATAAGATATTTACTAAGAGACTTATTAGCAGATAGGTTAAACTATAAAATTTATATATCTATACAATGACTTTTTCATTTATAGTTTTGTTTTATTTTGTGAGTGTTTTCCAGTGTAACTATGTAAAAAGGTTTAATAAAATATTTGCAAACCTGACAATTTGGACCAGGACAAAATCTCAGTTCCGGATGTGACTTCACGTGGTCCTTAAACATGAATTGCTGGTAGCGCTCTCGCAGAGTCGGATTTGTTACATGAGAAAGAACAAAGTCCTCGGGCGCCAACACCTCACATTCTTGTGCCATACATTGTATATTATTTGAAACACCTGGAAATAATAATTACAATTGTATGGTATGATAGAAAAACTTATAGACTCTCCCTATCTTTATCTTTTAAGAAATCTCATAAGACATGTTGCTTCCTTACAGCAATTAAATTGAACAGGCAAAGAAATAAAGTATTTAAACTAGAAATATAAATTGTAGGATAGTAATGGTTTTATTTTAAACATTTTTAGAAAACTACAATCAAATAAAATACATAAGAAAAGGAGTAAGAGTAATACCTTGCATTATTTGTACTTCAAAGTGTGTTGTCCAACATTCATTACAAAAGTAATGTCCGCAAGCCAATGCACTGTACTTATGAATAGGTGGTGAAGTGGCACATATGGCACACACTTTTATACTTGAATAGACTTGAACTGAAGGAACTCTAGGCTTTACATGACTGTACATTAATACTTCATTTGAATTCTCTTTATATTTGTTAATAATTTCTTGAGCATTCCATTCATATGCATGCAGAATAACCTGAAATATTTTAAAGTATCCGTATTACTGAGTTTACAAAAGGTTAGTATCAATTTTAATGGGAAATTTCATAATTAAAAAAATACCTTAGCAAGCGAAGGTGTTATGTGAAGGCTATTGCTAAGTAATTCAATAGACTCATTTAGCAATTTTTCTACTTCTTCTACTTTTAAGCAAGAGAATACAAAATATTCCGGGTCGGCTTTACTACGATCTACTGTTTCCATGTCACAGTCGTCTTGTCCTCCGTAGTAATCGTAGTCGTCGCCATCGTTGTCCGAATATTCCATATCAGATTCCGCCGACATGTTATCTATATTTATTATGTAGCTAGCTTGGAAAAGAAATATGTATCACAACATTTGGAAGTTAATGCTTAGAGAAAATAAACATAGGAAATCTGTAAAATGTTTTCTATTCGTTCCACTATTTTCCATCAAATTAAAAATCAAAGAGCAAAATAGGAGGTCTGTGGTCTATGTCAAAGAATATTTAAATAAACCATAAACCACCAACGTAGATTTAAACACAGATTATAATACCAATACCAACTGCTGTCAATATTTGCCAATCTTTTCGGGGGATTGAAGTATCGATTCACGTAGAAATCGATTTTAAAATAAAGTTCATGTCACATCACTAAACCTATTTACCCTCTCATGTCAAGTAAAGGTCACCTTGATAAGTTCACCTTCTCACGTACTTTATTTTATAAACGGTTTTAAATTTTTTGTGGTGTGTATATAATTCCTATATTATTTAAATCAACGTTCAAAACATGTTAAAATATTTTGAAACAGTGGGGTGTTATTTTTTTTGGTTTTATATGAATATTGATCAAAACTGATCAATTAATATTACATTTTCAGGTGATACTTTGTAATCAGATCTAAAAATGGATATAGCATCAACACAAAAATTTATTGAGAGAGGTGCCCATAAGGGCAAGGGCCTCGCTGTTTTTACCAGTGGTGGCGACTCTCAGGGCATGAATGCCGCAGTACGGTCGGTGGTACGAATGGGTATTTATTTAGGTTGTAAAGTTTACTTTATCCGCGAGGGCTACCAAGGAATGGTAGATGGTGGTGATAACATTGAAGAAGCCAACTGGTCATCCGTTAGCTCTATAATTCATAAAGGTGGCACTATAATTGGATCCGCACGGTGCATGGACTTCATGTGAGTATTTCTTTTGTTTTCTATTTATAATCTTCAATTGTTAAGTATCGTTAGTGTATAGTGTGTATAGTACTTTCTTTGTTTTAATAAAAGGCATATGTTTCATGTTGCAACTACAGTTACACATGGTGGAATATGTTCTATGTTTAGATTATCCAAACAATTGCTAATTATTTATGTTGATATGATATTATATCTACATTTTCCAATATCGAAAGTATTATTTAGAATATTTGTAAACAATTTTTTGTAGTTATACTTAGGATAAACAGTATAATATTTGTATGAAAAGTCTTATAAACAGTCTTAGATTTTAAGGCATCTTTTTATTACAGCAAAAGAGAAGGTCGCCTGAAAGCTGCTTTTAATTTAGTGACGCGTGGTATAACTAATTTGGTTGTGATTGGTGGTGATGGGTCCCTCACAGGAGCAAATCTTTTCCGTCAGGAATGGTCTAGTTTGCTGGATGAGTTACTGGCAAATAATAAAATTACCAAAGATCAAAGAGAGAAATATAAATATCTACACATTGCTGGCATGGTGAGTTTTAACATAACTTGCATTGTCAGTGTGCTGTACCTAAATTTTTTTTAATAGAAAAGTATATTTATAATATTTTTTCTAGGTAGGTTCTATTGATAATGATTTCTGTGGTACAGATATGACAATAGGAACTGATTCTGCGTTGCATCGTATTATTGAAGCTATTGATGCCATTGTAAGCACTGCATATTCACATCAAAGAACATTTATTATGGAAGTTATGGGAAGACATTGCGGGTAAGATTAAATATTATTTTGATTTTGTTAAAATAATCAAAAATAGAACATGTAATAATGGTTATATATTGAAATAGATATCTGGCTATAGTCACAGCCTTGGCATCAGAAGCAGATTTTGTGTTTATACCAGAAGCGCCACCTTCAGTTGACTGGAGAGATAAACTTTGTGATAAATTAGAACAGGCAAGCGATGCTAGCAAACATTGTACCCTTGTTTTTTGTTTCCTTTTTTTGTTACAAACACAGCTATTGGTTCCTATCCTTGACTTACAAATCCTTTAGTTTTCTTGCAGTTTATACAGCACTTTGTACGGATGCTACTTATAGTTTTATTTGCGAAGACCCAGCGCCCCTCAATTGGGAAAAAAAGTTGTGTACAAAGATAGCTGAGGCAAGAATATTTTTTTTGTATTTATGGGAGCAGGATCACTTTTTAATGTTTCATTTCACTGTTCTAAATTTATGGCATAATCTATAATTGTGGCATTTGTCAGTAGTCAAGTTATGGAAATCAATTTGATCTGTAAAATCTTCACCTCTACTTCATATTTCACATCCTAATTGGCTTCATATGCATGGACCATTATGTTCGGATGCTGCTTGTTGCAGTTATCTGGCATTAGTGGCTGCTCTGGCTTGCGAGGCAGACCAAGTATTTATCCCTGAGGACCCTGTTCCCAATAATTGGGTTGAAAAACTTTGCAAAAGATTACAGCAGGTATGCAGATTTAATTGAGTGGCACTGTGTAACTTGTAACACACAATAGTATTTACATGGCAAATAATTGGCAATATTGTTGGATTAACTTTATTATTTTCTTCTCGATAATCTGTTTTGGATTCAAAGCTATTTTGTTTATGTTAGCTTCTTATTTTCCTGAAATCTTTAGTTTATGCTGCAGCTTTTGATTTATATATTCTTCTAGCTTTTATTGTGTGTTAGCAGTTAATGCTTCTTGGGTGAGGTGATTCCTTAAAATCGCTTTTTTACTTGATTTGATACAAAGACAATGGTAGTACGTATGATTAATATGCTTAATAATAATATTATAGAAATAAACCTATTTAAACAATACAGCCGAAGAACACTTCGCATAAACAGCATGTGCATGTTACTTTTATTCGATGCTACATGCATATTGCTTAATCAATCCCTTTGTTTTTTTTACTAACGGGTTAATGTATTGTAGTTAATTTATTTAATAGTATATAAAATATCATTGCGATTAAATAATTTAGGAAAGAAAATCGGGACAGCGTCTTAATATTATCATAGTCGCGGAAGGTGCAATTGATCGTGAAGGAAAACCTATCACAGCCGAGCTTGTGAAGAAAGTCGTTGTGGATAATCTTCAACAAGACACGCGTATCACCGTACTGGGTCACGTACAGCGTGGTGGTTCACCATCTGCATTTGACAGAATTTTGGTAAGCAAGTATTAGAACTAATCATGTAATCTGCATGTAGTTTACTTTACGTAACACGAACGAACAAGCAGCAACCTGATTTCGTAATATACTAGCTAGGCAACCGTTGCCCATAGATGCGTCATATCCTATACGTCTCAAAAACCACTGCCTTTCCCATAATTTTCTTACAAATTACTTACAATTATGGGCTCTACTACTGCTAGGATAATATCTTATATAATCTATGTATAATAACAGTAACAATATAAATATAGTACTTATAACAGGGTTGTCGTATGGGAGCCGAAGCTGTTATGGCATTGATGGAAGCCACCCCTGAAACAGAGTCTTGTGTTGTTACTTTGGATGGTAATCAAGCTGTGCGTCTACCTCTTATGGAATGTGTACGTCGAACTAAAGCAGTTTCTCAGGTATGCTAAGTTCTTACAGTTTTATGGATTTTGCATTTAAATTATTGCAGTTGATTCATGATGTTACATTTTTGTAGGCAATGGCAGATAAGAATTGGGATTTAGCGGTACAATTGCGCGGGCGCAGTTTTGCACGCAACTTAGAAACATACAAGATGTTAACCCGTTTGAAACCCCCTAAGGAAGCGTTTGATGAATCTGGTAAACCATCCGTAAGTAAAAATAAAAAGTCACTAACAACTCTACTCATTATTTAATCAAACATTAAAAATATATAATTTATCAAGACAACAAATACATATGTCAATTTTGACAATAAAAATAGTGTTGTGACAAAGAATCGGCTTAGTGTTAATCGATAAATCACATCGATTATGATGTGGTAACTCGTGGTAAGTAATTCTTTGTTTTGTTGTTGTTAGGAAGGCTACACTTTAGCCGTGATGCACGTTGGTGCGCCGGCGTGTGGCATGAACGCGGCCGTGCGCTCCTTTGTACGGAACTGCATATATCGCGGTGACACCGTCCTGGGAATACACGATGGTATCGAAGGGTTCATCAGTGGAAACATCGTGAAGATGGATTGGTAATTTATTTTTATTTTATCATACCAGTAATAAAACTAACTTTTAAAGTTAAGATTGCCGCTTTGCAAAGTTCATTCTCTTAACTATCGAATTCTACAAAACATTGACTTGTTATTTAAACAGTTTCGCGAACACTTTTTAAATAATCTTTTTGCCATTCCTATATAGGTCAGACGTAACCGGTTGGGTGGCTCAGGGAGGCGCCTTTTTAGGTACAAAGCGCACTCTACCTGGTGACAAGAAGGGGGAGATCGCTGCACGTATCAAACAATTTAATATTCAAGGTCTCCTTATCATCGGTGGATTCGAGGTACATCTTCATTCAATTTGATATAATTTTTTTTAAAAAAGAAATGTGTTTATGTATTTATTTCTGTATTTCAGGCGTATCAAGCAGGTGTGGAGTTGTATGAATCACGGTCGCAGTTCCCCGAGTTCTGTATCCCCTTGGTCGTGATACCTTCCACGATCAGCAACAACGTGCCCGGCACTGACTTCTCTCTCGGCGCAGACACGGCTCTTAACGAAATTACAGAGATTTGCGATCGTATCCGTCAATCTGCTCAAGTTAGTACTTCGATGAATCATCAATTTAAAGATGTTAAATTTAATTTTTATTACTTTAACTATGGACTACGTTAATATCCTTCTATATTTTCCGTATAATTATGCTTTCAGGGAACCAAACGCCGTGTCTTCGTGATCGAGACTATGGGAGGGTACTGCGGCTACTTAGCGACTCTGGCTGGTACGTTTAATATTTTTACCATGTTATCTATGAATTTGGTAATTTCTTTTATATGATCCTCCTCAAATAATAATTTAATTAATAAGATAAATAAGATATTTTTTCAGAAACTCTTAAGATTTATTTCTTAGTTCCATTAAGTGTTTGTTTTTGAAAAGGTTTGGCGGGAGGCGCCGACGCAGCGTATATCTATGAGGAGAAGTTCTCCATCAAGGACTTGCAGCAAGACGTGTACCACATGGCGTCCAAGATGACGGGCGGCATCCAGCGCGGCCTCATCCTGCGCAACGAGAAGGCAAACGACAACTACAATACTGAGTTTATTTACCGCTTATATTCTGAAGAGGGCAAAGGCCTCTTTACTGCTCGAATGAATGTCCTTGGTTAGTATCATTTTCAAAATCTAACTATGAAAAAATACAAAATCCATCGAATATTTTTTTTCTCAATCTATTTATCCTATCGAAATAAAATTTCTTTAAATTTAATTGATAACACTGCAGTGAACTTAATGCACTGTTTACATTATTCCAGTCCAGCAATCGAATCCAACACAGAGTTGGCTCGTTAGGCTGGAATGATGTAAACAGGGTATAATATTGTTATACATATATCAATAAAAATGTCGCAGCAGTTGAATTCTGTGATAATATTTAACAATTTGTCACTCAGGTCACATGCAACAGGGAGGTTCCCCCACGCCCTTCGATCGCAACATGGGAACAAAGATGGCGGCCAAGTGCTTGCACTGGCTAGTAGAAAACATTCAGAAGGGGCCTGCCAACACGCCTGATTCCGCTTGTTTACTTGGAGTTGTTAAGCGCCAGTATAAATTTACACCTCTTGAAGATCTCAAAGCGCAAACTAACTTCGCGTAAGTAATCTGTAGCATACCAATCAAAATAAATATTTTTCTTTTTGTCCAACTGACAGGAGGGTAATGATTATCGTGGGTATGTATAAAACATAATAAGTATTTATAAATTATCATGCCCTTTTAGCATCCTGTTGACCAGATTTTGAGTGCAAACTGCTATTCAGTGTTAATCAGTGTTGACCCTTAGTAAACATGTACTATTTTGACTTTCAGACAGAGAATACCAAAGCAGCAGTGGTGGATGAAACTTCGTCCTTTACTCCGTATATTGGCCAAGCACGACTCTACCTACGAAGAGGAAGGAATGTACATGACTGTCGAACAGGGAGAAATCGACTCCGAAAATGTTATATAACTTTTTCCACCTTTTAAGGAGATCTCCAACGGTTTTCTTATTAATTTTTGAATGAATATTGCCATATATCTCGAAATTACTCACATACCCATTTGGTAGGAATTTTTTTTAATTAGCTAGTGATATGCATTTTTGTAGCTTTTTGTATTGATTTTCATAGTTATTTGTAGAAATAATTTTATTTTTATTAGTTAAAATACTCGGTGTAGTGAGTATAGTACTGCTTAGAATTATAGTAATTATATAATTTTATGTATATTTGGCCAAAGGGCATGTTGCAGATGTCATTAATATCTTAGAAAAAGTTAAACATACTTTCAAATTTTATTCACTTTAAACTCTGGACTTTACTTTATGGAACGTTGTTTATATTTTGTATACACCTTTTTAAGACTTAACGATTAAATAATCAATTGCTACTTAGTTTTATCAACTTTTTGTATTGTTTTTGATACAGGTATTGCAATGGTATTTGTTTCAATTTGTCTAGTTATTAACTATTCCATCCTAAACTTTCAAATTGTAAGTTTACAATATCTAGTCTAGCCCATCGTATAATTGTTATATGGTGTGTAAAAAACGGTTGCTTTACCTCTGAGAATGTTCCATGGTAACCTGTATCAGTATTTTATGACATTATTTTAGCAATTGGTTTAGAAAGTTAAAATAATTTATTTGCAGAAATTAATCATTATACGAATAAAGACAAAAATTATAAATATGTAGTTATATAAAGTGTTACTTCATAAATTATGTTTTATGATATTAAAATGTGCTTTATCAATAGTAAATTGTTTCATTGACCTTAACAATATTTAAGTTGAAAACACTACTTAAAATTGCTTTGCATTAGTAGTTTTAATAAGTTGAGGCGTGGCAATACTGACTAATATTTAATAGAATAACGAGAGTTTAGAGGTCAGAGCCATAAAAGTACAAATCGATTTTTTATACTTAAGAGAATTATCTGCAGTTCCATGGAAATTACTACCAATCGAAAAGTGTAATAACCGACATTGCCAAATAGTATTCAACTCATCCGTCGTGTCAGTTTTCAAATTAAAACTTTTACTTTTATGTATATTTTACAATAGTCCTTTATTTTTTACAATATTTCGAGTTAAAAATAAATAATAAATCTTTTTAGACTTCCAATAAAATAAAATCCATCATTTTTATTGTTATTATAGCAGCAACACTGAAAAAGTGACGACTTCGCAACAAAAAGTTGTTCTTGTAAATTTCAGTAGCAACACTGGTATTCACTATGTGCAGATTGTGCAGTGACATGTCGCTCTTGTGCTCAAAATGGCCACCACGAACGATTCGAAGGCGCCTTTGCGCCAAGTTAAAAGAGTACAATTTGGTATATTATCACCAGATGAAATCGTAAGTTTTCTTAAAACATTGCTATAAACAGAAATTTTCGAAATATAGTATATAATTCTACGTTGGAAGTAGTAAAACCTGTGTTTGCCATATTTTTTGTTTCCTGCTCTGTTCATTGATTTGTTCATGGCACTTTCGTAAATGTGATGTAAATTTTCCTTATCAAAGTATAGAGAATTTCCCGTTATAATCGCAAATAAGACCTTTTTTTACCATAAACTGCTATTAAAATTTCAGTTTTGTGATCTTATAATAACTTGTACAACATTAGAATGTAACGACGACATTAACGAGATAACACTTCACAATGATTTTTTTACACTATTGACTAAATTTTAGCGACGTATGTCCGTCACCGAAGGGGGCATTCGCTTTCCCGAAACTATGGAAGGCGGAAGGCCGAAGCTTGGCGGACTTATGGATCCACGACAGGGGGTGATTGACAGGAATGCCAGGTGTCAAACCTGTGCTGGAAATATGACCGAGTGTCCTGGTCACTTCGGACATATCGATTTAGCTAAACCAGTATTTCACATTGGTTTCATTACAAAGACTATAAAAATCTTGCGATGTGTTTGTTTCTACTGCTCAAAACTGCTTGTTAACCCGGTAAATTTACTATTATTTTATATTTTACATATTACTTTGTTTAATAAAACATAGCGTATATAACCTTACAATTTTTATTTTAAGACAAATCCAAAGATAAAAGAAGTAGTTATGAAATCAAAGGGACAGCCACGTAAGAGATTGACATATGTGTACGACCTTTGCAAAGGTAAAAATATTTGCGAGGGTGGTGAAGACATGGATATTGGCAAAGAAGGTGAAGAAGGTAAAAGAGGGTCTGGACATGGAGGTTGTGGTCACTACCAACCATCTATTAGACGTCAAGGCTTAGATCTAACTGCTGAATGGAAACATGCAAATGAAGATACACAAGAAAAGAAAATAATAATAACAGCGGAGAGAGTGTGGGAGATACTCAAACACATCACAGGTACAAATTTTTTTTTTTGGAAAACAAAATAAAGGTTTTTAACTTAACAGACTTTATAACCATTACAAAACTTTACCCATGTGTTGTTTTATTTCTTTATATTGAATAATTGTTATTTTATAAAAAAAATAGTATTAACTTCTTGGATGGTTTTTTAATTGGATCATGTTTTTTAGATGAGGAATCATTTATATTGGGGATGGATCCCAAATTTGCCAGACCGGACTGGATGATTGTGACAGTTTTGCCTGTACCACCATTGTCAGTGAGACCAGCTGTTGTCATGTTTGGTGCTGCAAAAAATCAAGATGACTTGACTCATAAACTTGCTGACATTATTAAGGCAAATAATGAATTGATGAGGAATGAACAGCTGGGTGCTGCAGCTCATGTTCTTGCTGAAAACATAAGATTGTTACAATTTCATGTAGCCACATTTGTAGACAATGATATGCCGGGCATGCCTAAGTGAGTGGTACTAAGTTTATAATAACATGTAATATTAATATTTGTAGCCTGACCAGGATGTAAGAATAACTTTAAATGCCATGATTTTGTTTGACATTTGATATTTATATAGGCCTCCACACATCATTGTTTTCTATTTTCTTAGGCTAAAACTTCTATAATAATTTTTGTAATCATTCCAAAAAGTTATATCTTTTTTTTATTTCTTTCAGAGCCATGCAGAAATCTGGAAAACCTCTAAAAGCGATCAAAGCTCGGCTGAAAGGAAAAGAAGGAAGAATAAGAGGAAATCTTATGGGAAAACGTGTAGATTTTTCAGCTCGTACTGTCATTACACCTGATCCAAATTTACGTATCGATCAAGTTGGTGTACCTCGGTCAATCGCTCAAAATTTAACATTCCCAGAGCTTGTCACCCCTTTTAATATTGACAGAATGCAAGAGTTGGTTAGAAGAGGAAATGCTCAGTATCCTGGTGCTAAATACATCGTACGCGATAATGGGGAAAGAATTGATCTTAGATTCCATCCAAAACCTTCGGATCTACATTTGCAGTATGGATACAAAGTTGAGCGACATTTACGAGATGATGATTTGGTTATATTCAACCGGCAACCTACCCTCCACAAGATGAGTATGATGGGTCACAGGGTGAAAGTGCTACCTTGGTCAACATTCCGTATGAATTTGAGTTGTACATCTCCTTACAATGCTGATTTTGATGGTGATGAAATGAATCTACATGTTCCACAGTCTATGGAAACTCGTGCAGAAGTTGAAAATATTCATATCACACCTCGACAAATTATTACACCACAAGCAAATAAACCTGTTATGGGTATTGTACAAGATACATTAACTGCTGTCAGGAAAATGACAAAACGAGATGTGTTTCTCACTAAAGAACAAGTTATGAATCTCCTTATGTTCTTACCTACATGGGATGGTAAGATTCCCCAGCCATGTATTTTGAAGCCACAACCTCTGTGGACTGGTAAACAGATATTTACTTTAATCATTCCGGGAAATGTAAATATGATACGAACACACTCAACCCATCCCGATGAAGAAGATGATGGACCGTATAAATGGATATCACCAGGTGATACAAAAGTTGTTGTGGAACATGGTGAATTGCTTATGGGTATCCTTTGTAAGAAATCATTGGGTGCTTCAGCAGGTTCTTTGCTTCACATTTGTATGTTGGAGTTAGGCCATGAAACTGCTGGCCGATTTTATGGTAATATTCAGACGGTTATCAATAATTGGTTGTTACTGGAGGGCCATTCCATCGGTATTGGTGATACTATTGCTGATCCACAAACATACCAAGAAATTCAGCGTGCCATTGTAAAGGCCAAAGATGATGTCATAGAAGTTATACAGAAAGCTCATAATATGGAACTGGAGCCAACTCCAGGTAACACTTTGAGACAGACCTTTGAAAATCAAGTAAATCGTATTCTAAACGACGCTCGTGACAAAACTGGTGGTTCAGCTAAGAAGTCTCTTACTGAGTACAACAACCTTAAGGCTATGGTAGTTGCAGGTTCTAAAGGTTCAAATATTAATATATCTCAAGTTATTGCTTGTGTGGGTCAGCAAAACGTTGAAGGTAAACGTATACCATTTGGCTTCAGAAAGCGAACATTGCCACATTTTATAAAAGACGATTACGGTCCTGAATCCAGAGGCTTTGTAGAAAATTCATATCTTGCCGGCTTGACACCATCGGAGTTCTATTTTCACGCTATGGGTGGTCGTGAAGGTCTTATTGATACTGCTGTGAAAACTGCTGAGACTGGATACATTCAACGTCGTTTGATAAAGGCTATGGAGTCCGTAATGGTACATTACGATGGAACGGTCCGTAACTCTGTCGGGCAATTGATTCAGTTACGTTATGGCGAGGATGGTCTGGCTGGAGAAACTGTAGAATTCCAGAACTTACCTACTGTGAAACTGTCCAACAAAGCTTTTGAAAAGAAATTCAAATTTGATCCTTCCAATGAGAGATACCTGAAACGAATTTTCAACGAAGATATTATTAAAGAGTTGACCGAGTCCGGATACGTAATATCTGATCTTGAAAGTGAATGGGAGCAGTTATCAAAGGACAGAGAAATATTGAGACAAATCTTCCCTAGCGGTGAATCCAAGGTCGTACTTCCTTGTAATTTCAAGAGAATGATATGGAATGTACAGAAGATTTTCCATATTAACAAACGAATGCCAACGGACTTAAGTCCTATCAAGGTCATACAAGGAGTGAAAGATTTGTTGAAGAAATGTGTTATTGTAGCAGGAGAAGATCGCTTATCTAAGCAGGCCAATGAGAATGCTACACTTCTGTTCCAATGTTTAGTAAGATCAACATTGTGTACGAAATTTGTATCGGAAGAATACCGTTTGTCCAGTGAAGCTTTCGAATGGCTTATTGGAGAAATCGAAACTCGTTTCCAGCAGGCTCAAGTAAATCCAGGAGAAATGGTTGGAGCTTTAGCTGCACAGTCACTCGGAGAACCTGCCACTCAGATGACATTGAACACTTTCCACTTTGCTGGTGTATCATCCAAAAACGTAACACTTGGTGTACCGCGATTGAAGGAAATCATTAACATATCTAAGAAACCAAAAGCGCCGTCTCTTACCGTATTTCTGACGGGTGGCGCCGCTCGAGACGCTGAAAAAGCTAAGAATGTTCTCTGCAGATTGGAACATACAACTTTACGAAAGGTTACTGCAAATACAGCAATCTACTATGACCCAGATCCACAAAATACAGTTATTGCTGAAGATCAAGAATTTGTTAATGTTTACTATGAGATGCCTGACTTCGATCCCACTAAGATATCGCCTTGGCTCTTGCGTATTGAATTAGATCGCAAGAGGATGACGGATAAGAAATTGACTATGGAACAGATTGC